AAATTTACTTTCAAGTCTATGTCTTTCAGTATCTCTTCTATCTTTCTAATAACTATCTCTCTCACATCTAAAAATTCTTTTAGTATGATATGATCAGACATATTTTTAATGGAATACGTTTTTACTATTGATTTGAATGCTGTCGCAATCTCTTGGATAGCTTCACTAATATATAAGGCATTCTTATGTTTTCTTTTTTCATTGTGGAGATTCTCATAGGTTGATTTATAGTAATGATTACAGATGCCACATTTTATTTGCTTTTCTCTTTCTTTTCTCGGTTTTGTAATAATATCTTCGTGAAAGTTAAATATATTACTAAATTTATATCTCTCTACAAAATTAATTAGGTCTGCTTTCCTTAATCTTGAATATCCACTAAAATTATTTTCTTTACAATATTGATGGAATTCACGAAGAGTTCGTGATTGCAGTATTTGCTCCATTTATTAAGTGAAAAAAACATTCAATATTTTTAAAATAATAAACACGCCTTACAATAATAACCATATCCATCGGTATTCCTTATATTTTTGTGAAATTTATCTAAAGATTTTTCCTCCTTGCAATCATCACACATTTTAATTCCATTTATTCGCCTTCTATGAATATCATTTTTCACATGCTTCTCTAAGTGTGATTTTAAAAGTTTTTTTTATCACATTCACATTCTATTAATTTATTTTTTTGTTTTGATTTTAATATAATAATTTTTATAGTATTTAATAGTACAACGTTTACACCATAGAAAATATCTATCTGTAGAATTATTGTCTTTACTATATTTTTCGAAGGGTTTATTTATTTTACAACGATTACACTGCTTTATTTAATAAGGAAAAAGTTAGTTCATAATAAAAAAACTGTTTATTTAAATTGTAAGAACGCAGAGGAAGTTGACATCATTTACTGATGACTAATAATTATTACAACCTAATGTTGAAATATTAGTCTATCTCTATATTCCTCATCTGATATAGAAATTAATTAAAAGTAACGTTCAAAATGGTTCTAGCGGAATAATAATTTTAAATACAACCACAGATGAAATCAAAAATATTTTTGTAATCCCACAATATCAAGAAAAGGAAAACGATCAGAATCAAAATAATATGATATTCGATAACTTAGATATGATGAGATGTTGGTTAACCCTGGGGTAGTGCAGTGGGGTGTTTCGCCACCCCCAACGTTTTAAATGTTGCACTATTCATAGATTTCGCAAGAAATATTTGTGTCCTCTTCAGTAGCTTCATGATTTTATGTATAGAGCATGCTCAGAAATTACTACGATGCTGCAAAAATTCCAGTAAGAGAAAAACAACAGTTCTCAATGGGGTGTCCAAACACCCCACAGTATTAATTACGTTTTTTTTTTTTACTTTTACAAATATTTATTTAGTTTTTTTAATTTTTCAAATAACTATAATGTGACCACATTTATTATTTATAATATAGATATAATAAGCAATGTGAATAAAAATAATTTAAGTTTATTTCAATTCAAAATGGCTGACTTTCATAAACACATTGAAAAAATACCAAACATAGCAAGTTGCTTGTCATTTGCAATGAGTGCCAAAGTACAATGTCAGCTATTGAATCAGAGTGACAAAAATGCTTTAAAAACAATTTAGATTTTGACTATTGGTTTAATAATAAGATCTAATGTAATGAGTTTTGATAAATGTTGTTTTTTATTTTCATGGATTTATGTACTAATATAATATGTAATCATACCTGAATATAACAAATGAATGAGGAAATCTTTATGAATTTTTACTTACATGGTTTATGGACCCAAAAAAATGTCGGGATGGACAAACGCCCCACTGCACTAATGACAGAAAAAAAACTCAGTGCACTAACGCAGGGTTAAGAATTAATAATAATAAATATCCAACAGACAATTATAAACTTAGTTTTAAACCCGGAGAATTAGATTATTCGAGATATTATTCTGATTTCTTAGCGGAGGGATTAAATACTAATAACACAGAGTCTGGTTGTTTAGTAAGTTATACAAACTATGGGAGACTGTATCCAATAATTCATTTCGATGTTTCTAATCATCNATCTTAGCTTTAAACCCGGAGAATTAGATTATTCGAGATATTATTCTGATTTCTTAGCGGAGGGATTAAATACTAATAACACAGAGTCTGGTTGTTTAGTAAGTTATACAAACTATGGGAGACTGTATCCAATAATTCATTTCGATGTTTCTAATCATTCCTCTTATAATTATGTTGATAATTTGAAAGTTGATTTCTTTTGGCAATTGAGAGAAACACCTGTTAAACAGTATAGATTTTATTTCGTTTTAATCGAAAAAAGAAAAGGATTTATGTATATGTAGAAGAAACTTTTGAAACCATTAAAACTTTAAAGTAATTAAATGGCTTGGATTTCTTTTGGTCATTATTATGATGAAGTAAAAAAAAAGTCCTCCTGGTCCTCCGGGTGATGGTTTCAAATTAACGAATAATGGAAATTATAATATGCAAAATAAGATCTTAAAATATTGCAAACATCCAATAGATGAAAACGATGCTGTAACCAAGGGATATATTGATAATAAATAAAAATAATCAATGAATTAAATAAATATTTTTAAGCTTTTGCTAATAAATTAAAAATATTAGAAGAAGATCACATAACAGATAAAACTAATTCAGAAAAAAATATTAAAGAAATAAATTTAAGCGAAATTAAATTTAAGCTTTTGTTGAAAAATGATTTTTATGATTCTGATAATAAAGGAATAACTAATTTAAAAAATCCAATTATGACATGGATGCAGTTACAAAATTAAATCTTGAAAATTATTTCAAAATTAACCATTCATTTATCTTAAGAGGTTTTCTGAATTTAACAAAAGATGTAAAATTTTATTTAACCTTAAGCGATCTTTCTATTGATGATAGTGATATAAAAAGTTATGATAGAAAATATATGTTAAAATATAATGGTTTCATTAATAAGATTTATTTTACATGTAATTTAGCAATATCTGTGGGTATATTTATCAATGAAAAATTAGCATTTTCTTTTAAAAAAGAGAAAGAAGAAACTTATATAGTCACAAATGAAACTATTCCATTCAAAGTAAGAGATATAATTACTGTTAAAACTATAGAGGAAGTCTTGCAAAAATATGAAATTGAATGACTTTCGAGTTTTTCTACCTGATCGATTCAATAAAATATTAGAGAATGAAAATAATTTAGATGAGATGAGTAATTTTAAATTTGTATACAAAGATATAAGAGATTGTGGGGATAAGTATAAAGCTCATATTATTCAGTTTGTTTGACTTTTTAATATATGTTTTTGACTAAAATTTTACAGGTTTGATTAAATTTAATGACTTAGAATAAATAAAAGTAGTAATCAATGAGATTTTCAATGGTTTCTAATTCTTGTTTAAATTGATTGATTTTTTCTTTTGATTTGATTAAATTCAATTAATTTTTTAGACTTAAAAATTTTGGGGTAGAACAGACATTTATATACTACTGTTGATAATAAATACAGGTATCTTGCTTTTAATGCAAACAATCATTTATTTATTATATAATTAAAAATTAAGTATACATTTTTTTCATATACAGGAATATCTCGATTATCTCGTTTATTGTTACCAAGATAATCGCGTTAAAAATAATGCGTATAAAATGGATAATCGTCAAAGGTTTTACAAATCCTTCAAATAAATTTTATAAATGGAAAAAAATGGAATGTGTAAAAAAGTAAAAATGAAGTTAAAGTTGAAGTTTAAGAGTATTTACCAAAATTATAACAAAATTATATAAAATAACTTTCTGAACTTTTCTCACATTATCATAAAAGTAACGGTATATCGGCTTGAAGAAAACCTTCATTAAAATCACAATTCTTATTTAAAATTTTCTTCAGAACAGATCCAGATGACTGGAATGACTTTTGTTATTAGAAAAAGTATAATATACAAGTCCACAACACTCCTATAATTTGTTTTACAGCTACTAAACTACAATACCCCAGCATTTTGATAAATTTTATATATTCTGTAAAACAGTAAATATCCAATAAATATTACTTTATAATTTACTGATCTTTTGAATATGTAGTAGGCATGTTTATATTAAAATATTTAACTTTTAACTTAGTTTTAAAAGTTACTAAAGTAGTAAAATAAGAAATTTCGAAAAAATTAGAAAATGACTAAAATTATAATTACTATTTGACATGTCGATTGAAATGATGAAATCCGAAACATAGTCAAGTGGTTAATAAAAATATAGCGAATGAAAAAAATGTGTAAAGAAGCGAACAAGATAAATAATAGCATACTATTTTAAATTGAAAGTGAAAGATAAATCAGTATAAAGCAGGGACGAGCAACACGCGGCCCGCCAAGCATTTTTAAAATTGAATTTATTTTATCGACTTTCTCCCATCAATATATTGTTATAAAATTAATTATAATAAAATGGTAGTACATACTAAACCGAAACAATTTTTTGTGACGAGTTACTCACTTGTCGGCGACTTGTTCAAACATGCAATACGAACGCGCCGCGTCTGTGCTTGTTTGTGTTTGCTTCTGTCACACAATCAGTCAGACTGGTAAGCTGTTAACTAGCAATTTTAGCAATTCTTGTGTTTCTTGAAAGGCGTGAGTGCAATATTATTGTCAAAAAGGTAATATTAGAGTTTTTTTTATTCAAAATTAAGTTTTCCTACAAATTTTTTTAACTTTCAAATTTTTAATCCATAATAGCATGTCGGAAAAGCAAACAAAAAAACGGAAGGTTGCGGATGAGCACAGGCATTTCCAAGAAAAGTGGAAATTTGATTATTTTTTCACTTTCGTCGAAGATAAAGCTGTATGCTTAATATGCTCAGAGACTGTGTCGACATTAAAAGAATATAACATAAAAAGGCATTACGATACAAAACATGAACAACAATATAAAAACTTAACAGGACAACTCCGGATAGATAAGTTTAATCAAATGGAGAAAAACTTGGGAAAACAACAGGCTATTTTTAAAAATCAAGCTATTTTATCAAATACGGCAGTAAAGGCTAGTTTTGTTGTCAGTCAAATACTGGCAAAAAAAATGAAACCCTTTGCGGATGGAGAGATGATAAAAGAATGTCTGACTGCTGTTGCAGAAATAGCATTTCCTGATAAAATAAATATTATTTCAAACATTAGTTTATCAAGATTCACCATTGCAAGGAGAATTGAAGACTTGTCCGAGAACATAGCAACAACGCTTCGTGAACGCATTGCAAAATTCGAATACTGTTCTTTGGCACTTGATGAGAGTTGCGATATTAGCGATACAGCACAACTGGCTATATTTTTACGTGGTATTGACACCAAATTTAATATTACCGAAGAATTGTGTTCACTGATTCCAATGCAAGGGACTACAACCGGCAAAGACCTGTACGATGAACTAAAGTCTGTGTTGGAAAATTTTTCAATTTCATTAGAAAAGATTATTGGTATATCGACAGATGGAGCACGAGCAATGTCAAGCATGGAGGTAGGAGTATCGGGAAGGCTATTTCAAGACATTAAGAAGGTCACAGGAAGGGAAATATTCGTTAACCACTGCATAATTCACCAGGAAAATTTGTGTGCGAAAAGATTGAGTTTGCCAAATGTCACAGTACCAATAATTAAACTAATCAATTTTATAAAGTCGCGCGCGTTAAATCACCGCGAATTTAAAGAATTCCTGAAAGATTTAGAAACTGAATATGGCGACGTGGTTTTTAATACCGAAGTACGTTGGCTTAGTAGAGGTGCAACGAAGTACGTTGGCTTAGTAGAGGTGTTGGCTTAGTAGAGGTGTTGGCTTAGTAGAAATGCTAAAAAGAGTATACAACTTAAAAAGCGAAACGCAATTGTTCTTGGATATGAAGCCTTTCCTCATTTTAGTAATAAAGAATGGATGTGCGATTTTGGATTTCTTATCGACATGACTCAGCATCTCAGTGATCTTAATGAGGAACTTCAAGGCAAAGGACAGTTTATTCACAATTTGTATGATAAAATTCAAGGCTTTGAGCGCAAATTAAAATTGTGGAAACAGCATCTTTTGCAGAATAATGTGTCTCACTTTCTACATTTAGAAAAAGAAAACGTTACTACTTCTCAAAAATACGCACAATATATAGACATTTTAATCAACGAATTTCAATTACGATTCCAAATGTTCAAAGCTGAGAAGACAGCGGTTTCCATAAAAATGTTTTCCTCGCCATTTAATATCGATGTAAATACAGTTCCCAGAGACTTTCAAATGGAAGTGATTGACAAGCAGAATAATACCAATTTAAAAAATGTATTTTTCTCAGTAAACATCGAAAATTTTTATAAATCTTATGAGAAATTTCCGCTTTTGACGAAAAATGCAAAGCAAATGATGTCTCTGTTCGGAAGTACGTATGTTTGCAAACAATTATTTTCAACCATGAAATTAATCAAAAATGACCACCGATCAAGACTGAGTGATGCACGATTAGAAAGCTGCGTACGTGTAGCTACCTCATCAATTCCGGCTGATATTGATCAGCTTGTATCGAAAAAACAGTGCCAAATTTCTCATTAAAAATTTCAAGTAAATTCTTTTTTCTGTTCTTTTCTTGTTTGCTTTTATTTTGCATTAAAATTTGTATATGAATTCTTTACTTTTTTAAAAATTTTATATTTTTTTATTGTAATGTTTATTATAAATAAAATTTTGTAAATTATTAATAAGTGTTACTTTATGTGCGGCTCGCCGAAAAATTTTAAAATTTAAATTGGCCCGTTGATTAAAAAGGTTGTTCACCTCTGGTATAAACTATTTATACATAATTGTATCAATGGGAAAAATATTCTAAAATGTTCAACACGTATAGCTAATCAATATAAGTATAATGAATAGTAAATAAAAATTCTAATACACCAATAAGTATTAAAAAATAGATTTAATATGTATGTATATAATATTGAAAGAAAAAACTATAAAATTAATAATGGTAAAATGGAATAAATAATATCACACATTATAGAAAAACGAAGAATTATTAAAAAGTAAATGTTTTAATACAAGTGGCTAATTTGAGTGGGTAGGTGGGATTTTGATTTGACAACGGAGCTGGAGATAGACTCTTGAACATAAAATTATAATAAGCTATTAATCTATTTGTAAACTATAATATATATATATATATATATTATAATACAAGAATATCGATAACTGAAAAAAAATAAAACCAAATTTCGAATACAGAACCTAATATCCTATCGGGAGAGAGAGGTTACAAGGTTACAATCAATGCAATACCTCATTTCTTGTCTTTAATCTTTTCTTGTTTTTCTGAAGGGTTGTCAAGGATGTTCGCATTTCTGAATTTTTGGCGAAAAAACCCTTGTTATTCGGACACTTTCTTAGAAGTTGTGTTTTTACTTTCAACTTTTGCCATTGGTGTGATCCTTGCTTAAATAGCACGCGTTCGATCAAAAATTTGGAGCTATTCGAGTCATTTGAAAAGAGAAGCAACAGGGAACTTGTTTGTGATGCGGATATCAAAATCAATATCTCTCTCTCTGGGAACTTCCTTTCAAAATAAAAGACAGTACATTTTTGACTTTTAAAATTGTCTTCAAAGCAATAGATTATTACTCGTCTGAAATTTTTCTTTATAATATTAATATGCTTTATATACTTAGATATAAAATTAATATATGGTTTAAGGAGACTATTTTTCACGTAATACGAATTTAAGTCGCATTTGCGGAAGCAATCGAATATACCAAAAAACAAATAGAGCTAATATTTTCAACAAATTAAAATATATTTCATTTTTCGACAAATAGTTGTTTACTGATTTTGGATTACCTTGCTTAGATTAGTTTAAAATTTGTTTTAAAACAAGTGAGAGTTATTCTGTTCATTCCTCAATTGAGACATTTCAATGTAAGCGATTTAGAATAAACGGAAACTCCATAACTTTTCATTTGACTCCATAACCAGCTTGTTAAAATACTTCGAATTGATATCCTTGAAGCGCCAAATTCGAACGAATTAGTGTCAAGATCTTGTTTTGAACATTAAAAAGCCATCTAAGTGATGTATAATCTTATAATTTTAAATAGTCTATCATATAAAAACAGTGATGAATACATTTTATGAAAATTAACTAGGATAAATTTAAGTTAACGAAAAAAGTTGTATTGTTAATAAATTTTTATTAATTTTTTTGTAAAGTTAAATTCGTCCTGGCTGCTTTTTATAAAATGTAATGTGACTGCAGTTGTTCACATTGAGACAGTCACTAACAAAAAAATGTGAACGGTTTTTTTCCTGCTCGCAATGTGATCGATGTCATTGAAATTTTATAACAATATCTTTAAATTAACAAAGTGAAATGTCATTACAAATTTGGTGTTCGTTATTTTTTGTGTTTTGTGTGGTGATGTTTCCTGTCAAACGCACTATAGGAAAAGATTTTCAACTAAATTTTGCTTTTGCAAAAAGGTTTTCTACTCTTTCCACAGGCTATATAAAAATTTTAATTTCATTTTACTAGATGCTTGCAGCTACAAACTGTTCCGAATAAAAAATTTTAATTATGGTCACGCTGTGTAACGACTCGAATATTCTGTTTGCATAGTTTTATTGTGGATATCGGTGACACAATTTTATGTTTCTAACAGGTTACTGTAAATTTTCCGAACGTTATGGGAGCACAATTTATCTCGCGTCAGAATGAGCTTAAGGGAAACCGCGTATGTGGGCGGTCGCGAAGGAGGCAAATGAAGAACAAGTGTTTTACACGAGAAAACCCGTTTATTTGTTACATCGATATTGAACAATTCCAAAATCTCGGTGCTTCTCGGGTGATCGGTCGCAGCCCAGGTGGAAGAGAAGGATCACTGGACGATACAGGTATTCGGTGTTAAGCTGCGGCGTCCTAAGTGATCGGCAGTTGCACAACACAGTCTAAATCACAACTGTAGGCTTAATCCAGAGGAGACTCTTCTTCGACCTTGAAGTTCCGATTTTTATAGTTTTTCTTCCACTAATCGCATTTCGGATTGGTCCCTCGTCCCATTCCTCGCTTCCCTATTGGTCTCTCGTTTGTCTCCAAATGCGAGACGAAACCTTTTCGGGTCGCGGGAAAGGTCCGATTCGAGGTGTCCAAACGATACCTCTTTGTCGACTCTGCTCGGTGACTGTTTATAAAACAGTAACACCTGCACTCATAACTCAAGCCGTTGTTAACCATTTTTTACGTCTAAGAATGTAACGATTATTTTCATCTTTCATCTATCAAAAATTCCCTTTTTTTTGTTCGAAAAGGTTAATCTCGACCAACATATTATAGACTCGAAAGTCAAAAATCTACCTGTTTATGAGCGCTCGTGTTAGAGTTTGTCTTCCGCCAAGACCTTGACAGATAGTTTGACATATACTCGAACCGTTCCGGGTCTCGTTGTTTACATCTTGTGTCGCGCAAGAATTTCACGGTTTACTCGAGTTCGAACCTCCTCTTGGAACCCACATTACATTTATTATTATACCTGAAAATAAATATTTACCGTAATGATTTTAAAATGATTTAAATTTATAATAATACAAGTTTTTCATATTGGATACTCCTTCTTGTATGATAGGAAGATGCGAACAGTCCATTATGAGTAGAAGATTCTTGTAAAATATTAATGGGAGCTTCAAAGTCGTTTATTTGAAAAAAGACATTGTTTAATCGAAAAATGAAATGTATGCAAACATTATACTTAAGTTTTAATACATTCTACAATAACATTGGATATGTATTTACAATACGAAATAATTTAAGGCTGTCAAAGTATTTACAATAGAAAATAATTAATGGATGTCAAAGTATTTACAAATGTAATTTAAGTAAAGTATTTCGCCTGGTAAGTTTTGTAATAAGTAATACAGTAAAATAGTCACAGAACGTACACTGGAAACAATTCACTCTTTACTTGTATATTAAAAACTACAGCTGAAGGAAATGTTTGTCCTAATTGTGTCAAATACTAAACAATCCACACTTAATTTNTTTGTTACATCGATATTGAACAATTCCAAAATCTCGGTGCTTCTCGGGTGATCGGTCGCAGCCCAGGCGGAAGAGAAGGATCACTGGACGATACAGGTATTCGGTGTTAAGCTGCGGCGTCCTAAGTGATCGGCAGTTGCACAACACAGTCTAAATCACAACTGTAGGCTTAATCCAGAGGAGACTCTTCTTCGACCTTGAAGTTCCGATTTTTATAGTTTTTCTTCCACTAATCGCATTTCGGATTGGTCCCTCGTCCCATTCCTCGCTTCCCTATTGGTCTCTCGTTTGTCTCCAAATGCGAGACGAAACCTTTTCGGGTCGCGGGAAAGGTCCGATTCGAGGTGTCCAAACGATACCTCTTTGTCGACTCTGCTCGGTGACTGTTTATAAAACAGTAACACCTGCACTCATAACTCAAGCCGTTGTTAACCATTTTTTACGTCTAAGAATGTAACGATTATTTTCATCTTTCATCTATCAAAAATTCCCTTTTTTTTGTTCGAAAAGGTTAATCTCGACCAACATATTATAGACTCGAAAGTCAAAAATCTACCTGTTTATGAGCGCTCGTGTTAGAGTTTGTCTTCCGCCAAGACCTTGACAGATAGTTTGACATATACTCGAACCGTTCCGGGTCTCGTTGTTTACATCTTGTGTCGCGCAAGAATTTCACGGTTTACTCGAGTTCGAACCTCCTCTTGGAACCCACATTACATTTATTATTATACCTGAAAATAAATATTTACCGTAATGATTTTAAAATGATTTAAATTTATAATAATACAAGTTTTTCATATTGGATACTCCTTCTTGTATGATAGGAAGATGCGAACAGTCCATTATGAGTAGAAGATTCTTGTAAAATATTAATGGGAGCTTCAAAGTCGTTTATTTGAAAAAAGACATTGTTTAATCGAAAAATGAAATGTATGCAAACATTATACTTAAGTTTTAATACATTCTACAATAACATTGGATATGTATTTACAATACGAAATAATTTAAGGCTGTCAAAGTATTTACAATAGAAAATAATTAATGGATGTCAAAGTATTTACAAATGTAATTTAAGTAAAGTATTTCGCCTGGTAAGTTTTGTAATAAGTAATACAGTAAAATAGTCACAGAACGTACACTGGAAACAATTCACTCTTTACTTGTATATTAAAAACTACAGCTGAAGGAAATGTTTGTCCTAATTGTGTCAAATACTAAACAATCCACACTTAATTTAATTTAATTAATAAATAAATTATTACAAAATAAATGTAAATTTAATTTTTTTCTGTTGTTATAGATAAGCGATCGTTACGACTTCAGACATCTTAATTGAAGATGGGTATCGGCTGTGCAAAAAAATTAATTTCGGCCATTTTCAGAAAATTAGGAAGATTAATCGGACTTCATCCTTATTACTTTATTATTTTTCCCATTTTAATTACCGCATCATTCTCAGTTTTTGTTGTTAATTTAAAAACTTTGAGTGATATTGTCGATCTGACTGTAGCTGACAGAGGAAAAGTTTTCAATACTAAAAAATTCATTGAGCAGACTTTCCCTTTCAACACTTCTACATTTCTTGATCCATTACGATTTACAACAATACCAAAATTTGCGTTTGCAATGTTTACGAGAAAAGATGGCGAAAATATGCTGGAGAAAAACGTGTTTTTAGAAATTAAATCTGTAGATGAATTGATTAGAAATATTACAGTTATAGTTGAAGGTAGAGAAATAAAATACAACGACATTTGTGGACGTATACATCAAAAATGCTTCGAAAATCCCATCATTGAAATACTACCTGAAGTAGACGACATCATATCGAAGAAAAAGGTATTAAAATTTCCAGTTGATATAGATCCTCTGACATTCTCTTATCGAATTTATTCTCTTAACTTTGGAGGTGTAACCACAAAGGAGAACGATGTAATAAAAACAGTAGAAGCTATGAAACTTGTATACTTTGTTGACGAAAGTGACCAAGAAAAGCAATTACAGATAAAAAAATGGAAAACGAAAGTTTACAAAACTTTACTGAAATATAATTTCAAACACGTCAGATGTTCGATTGGCGTCTTTTGGTCAATGGAAGACGAGATCTTGTCGTTAAATAAAAATTTAGAACCAATGATAGGAGCAGTGTTTGTCTTCGTTACTGTATTTTGTATGGTTACTTGTATGAGTAACAGTTGGGCAAAGAGCAAGCCATTTTTAGGTTTGGCAAGTGTGGTATCGGCAGGTCTGGCAGTTGTCACATCTTTCGGATTAATGTCGATTCTCGGTATCCAGAATACGATATGGAACATTAGCATTCCATTTTTAGTCCTAGGTGAGTTATATATGTACAATATTAAGTTTTGTGTATTTTGAATTTATAATTTGTATCTTTATTTTATGTACAGTTACCGAAATAGATGATGCTTTCGTCTTGATAGCGTGTTGGAGGATCTCTAATCCTAAGCATAAAGTTTACAAACGCATGGAGAAGACATTTGGTGAAGCGGGAGTTTCCATAACATTAACTACTTTGACCAATTTCTTTTCCTACTGCATCGGCATGATGGCCTCTTTCCCTCTGATANTATATATATATATATATATAAATTTTGTACACTTAAATATTATTTTTAAATAAATAATACATTTTCGCTGGATTGCCGAGAGTTCATAGTGGCAGCCTACCGCTTTGAGGAAACCTGGGTGCAGTAGGCTGCCTCCTTGACCCAAAACTCGTTATTAAATTTTAAGGCGGCATAAAATTTAGAAATATGACGATAAGAATATCTCTGTTCAAGTATTCAACGGTAAGCAAATGAAAGTATAAGCATAATTAAATGTAATTACAATTGTGATATGAACCAAAATTATTCTTGAAATTAAAAAAATTTAGTTTAAATCCCAAAATACTTTTGAGGAATTAAACTCAGATAAATATTTTTGTAATTTCAGTGATTTAAATGGATTTTATCCCTCTACTTTTACAGTACATGAACACCTTCACTTCAATTAAATTTTAATATTAGCAGCTAAGTAACGAGCCAATGGTATTGTGTGAATCTGTAGGTATTAAACAAAAGTCTTTTCTTACATTGGGATCTATTTAGATTTTGTTTTAATTATTTAANATATATATATATATAAATTTTGTACACTTAAATATTATTTTTAAATAAATAATACATTTTCGCTGGATTGCCGAGAGTTCATAGTGGCAGCCTACCGCTTTGAGGAAACCTGGGTGCAGTAGGCTGCCTCCTTGACCCAAAACTCGTTATTAAATTTTAAGGCGGCATAAAATTTAGAAATATGACGATAAGAATATCTCTGTTCAAGTATTCAACGGTAAGCAAATGAAAGTATAAGCATAATTAAATGTAATTACAATTGTGATATGAACCAAAATTATTCTTGAAATTAAAAAAATTTAGTTTAAATCCCAAAATACTTTTGAGGAATTAAACTCAGATAAATATTTTTGTAATTTCAGTGATTTAAATGGATTTTATCCCTCTACTTTTACAGTACATGAACACCTTCACTTCAATTAAATTTTAATATTAGCAGCTAAGTAACGAGCCAATGGTATTGTGTGAATCTGTAGGTATTAAACAAAAGTCTTTTCTTACATTGGGATCTATTTAGATTTTGTTTTAATTATTTAATTAATATTAAATATTATTCAGTAAGAGAAACGACAAATACAATTGTACGATTATTTCGAAATTAACAGTAAAAAGAAAATAAAACTTCCTTTTAGTTTGTCAACTTCCCATGGCAAGATAATATCGCTCATGTTGATGATACATCTGCGAGAAAACTTAGGGATAAAAATGGCAAACATCTCGTTTTCGAGGCACTCTCCTCGAAGTTCCCTTCGTCTAGTGTGCCTTCTTCAGTTATTGTCTCCAGTCTTTCCTGTTTCTCTTCGAGAAGTTGTATCTTACGTGCACAACCGCCAATAATTGCTCTCCCATTGTATATTAGAAATGTAATTAGGTAGTTTATCGACAGAAATATACGTTAATCTTTTTGTATTTAACCTGCATTACATTTTATTCATTAAACCTTTATTATTCGTTAACCTAGCTTCAATTTAAAATTATTTTGATGACAGTATCCCTATCGACAATTTACCACTCTCTTACGCTATGGTAGATAGACTTTTCCCACTCGACCGTATAAATAACGCGATTATAAATATCTGTAAATATATGTAATCGCGAGTTAAGACGATAATTCTAACAATCCTAACTGGTGTCAGAAAATGACGTCAATTGATCTCATTATTTTGGAGAAAAAATTACCTTAGAACTTTTTGAACCACTGAAAACATCAGATGTCCAAACTGTTCAGACTTCGGAATAGGCGGAGAGAATTTATCGACTCCTCACTGCAGATTCTCACAGTACAAAATAGAGTGTTTTCTATAAAACTGACAATGTTATTCGGTTGCATATTTAGTTGTTGAGTCATCTAGACACATCTGTAGTGCTTTTTTCATTTTAATCAAGTTAAATAAATTTTTTATTCTTATTCGTACGAACAATTATAAGTATATTAATTAACATATTTTGATGAATTAATTAAATTACATTAATAATAAGTCATTTTTTACTAAACATCAAAAATAAGAATTATTCATTAACTTCTGCATTATGTATATTTACAGAAAACATCGAAGATGATTTAGAAGAAGATCAGAAATCAGCTGATGAACCTATGATGACATTTTTCAGAGATAAATTAGGGAATCTTCTTTCTAATACTCTAATGAAGATAACCGTAATTATAATTTTTCTTGTGAATCTATCCATCGGAGTTTGGGGAGCTTTAACTATTAATCAAGGGCTTGACTTTATAAAGTTATTTCCAGAAGGATCGCCAGTGGCAAACGGTACAGCAATGATTTACAAATACTTTGGCCGTTATCCATACGGTTGTCAAATAATTATCAATACAACGTTAGATTATTCGGATGTAAATGTACAGAAATCCATAGAAAGACTACAGAAAAAATTTGAAAGTCTTCCATACATTGCAGAATCACGATTTTCCACTTCTTGGTTAAAGTATTACAAAGAATTCCAACACCAACCGATAGCAAAGTATTCATTACAAGGTTATAACATGTCCATAAAACAAGATTTTATTGATGGACTTCGCAATGTTTTTCTCAGATTTGAAGCAGCCAAACAATTCTCCAATGATATTGTGTTTAATGAAAACCAATCCGAAATTTCGTGTAGTCGATTTTATGTAGCAGTAAGCGACATATTAAATCGAGAAGCGGGCATGGAGTTGTTAAATAATTTATTGAAAACAGCCGAAGAATCTGAATATCCTGTTTTGGTTCATACGCCAATGTCTGGTATGAACGAACAAGGAATTATCATTGAACGTACAATCAAAGATGTATTTTGGATCACTTCTGTTTTGATAATGATACTTTTTCTTCTGTTTATACCAAGCGTAGTGTCTGCCATCCTCGTTGCGATTTCGGTAGTTTCTACCATTGTAGAAACCTTAGGATACATGTCTCTATGGGGCGTAAACATGGACATTTTGTCTATGATGAGTCTGATATTATGTGTTGGTTTCTGTGTCAATTATCCGGCGCACATATCTTACGCCTTCGTGTCTTCGTCATACAAAAGCCCGAATGAAAAGTTGAAGGACGTTCTCTATCATATTGGTTATCCAATATGCCAAGGTTCTCTGTCCACCATTTTCGGAATTCTGTTTTTATACAGAGATATGTACGCCTACATGATATTTGTGAAAATTGTATTATTAATTGCTATAGAAACTGCATTTCACGCGTTATTTTTTATTCCTGTTACTCATTCATATATATCGTCAATATTTCATAAAAATAATTTTTCAAAGTGAAATCAGATACAGAATAATTACAATATAAAAAATTAAATATTCAGATTGAAGTATATGTCAAAATGTATATTTCCAGTTACTAAATTTCTGATTTATTTCATATTATTGTTGATTTTTTTTATGAAAACTTTTATGGAAGAATGGAAGATACAATTTTTTATTTTATGTGTGAATGTTCTTTTAATATATATTATATTTTTGTTTAAATAGTTTAACTTAAACGAATGATCTAAATCGAAAAATTTTACGAAATTCTTTAAATGTTTTACCTTATTAATTTAATGTATAAAACGTTTAATATGTATTGATTAATTAAATATTAAATGGAAATAAATATAAAATGTGACTAACTATTGAAATTTATTGTTTATTGAGTGGTGGTTTGCTATAAGTTTAAACTTTAAAACAGAAATCTTGAAAACGAAGTTTCCCTTTGTTACATTTTTATGGGTTTATTTCATTAAATCTACAGTCGCTGCTGTGGAAAATAAGTGAATAATTCTAATTGTACTTATTTTATGTCTTCACTATACTTGTGGTTGTACTTGTTCACTATACTTGTCTTCACTATACTTGTGGTTGTAATTGACTGCCTCACAAAGAATATAATTCCTGGCCTCAAAACTGCACCTGTTACTGAAATTTTTATCGAGTCAACCATAGGTAAGCTAACTTTAATCTTCACTCGTATAACGTTATCGAGTGGCACTCCAAAAACTATCCAAAAATATATTTATCAAGTTCTTACTGAAACTTGTGTATATACTATAAAAAGTCAAATTTATTTTAGTTAGAGACAAACTAAGAGAACTAAATAATTTAACAGAACTAAATAAAATGACAGAATGGCAAGTGTTTGAATTTATTACGCTACAGAGTGTTTAAGAAACGAAAAACTAAGAGAAGTTAAGAAAATTTTAAAAATTCTATTCTCGGCTGAATGTTTCAATGAAGTTGAAGTGTGGCAGGTTTAGGAGTAATAGAAATAATGCTCAGCAGTGGGAAGTCAATAGAACCAGAATACGGAAGTAATTGGTCATTGATTTTTGCTCGATTAAGGTGCTGCTCACGTAAAGTTTAACAGATTTCTTTCAGCTGTAGAATACATCAGTAGGGATTGCTTTCAAAGAAAACGTTACTGAAGGCAGATAGAAATGAGTGTTGTGTTGCATAGCCATATAACTTCTACATTCCGTACTTTTAATGTTTGCTCTTTCTCCTCACATGAGTTCTTTACTGCCTAATGGACTTTAAGAATGCTATTTTACTTTTCCAGCTGTAATATATGAGGGAAAAAGTATGTCAATCGGTCATAAAATGAATTCATTTTTTGGACTTAAAACAATTTGAAATACAAAACAGTTATAGGATAATTACTGTATGTATGGATGTTATTGTGTATTGGACAAGATTTTGTTTATCCTGTTTGAAGCTTAATTAAAACGTGTTATAAATGCAAGAANAACAGTGGGGACGCACGTTCTAACCTAACCTAACCTAACCTATTCTAATAATATAATTGGTAATAATTATGATAATTTATTAGAATAGGTTAGGTTAGGTTAGAACGTGCGTCCCCACTGTTTGCTTTTGTTTGCTGGAATCAGCGCCGGCGCCATTACAGCCGCCGCCGTTAGCTCGCGTCGTCACGTGACACGTCGTCTCTAAAGCGGTCCGGTTTCGAGGCTAAAACAGGAAGAGCCGGCATGATGGTCTACGACCCTGGACATTAACCATACTTGGATATAAGTGAGAGTATGTATTATTGGACTACTAATATATTTGTGCATATAATTTTCTAGTCCTAACTTCGAAACATTTATGTTTTTATTGTTTATAAGCTTGTAACTTAGAATATCTACCGATTTAGTGCTATTACGTAAAACAACGTGAAAGAAAAATACAAAGTTCAATTAGCAAGTAGTTCCTTTATTAGGAAATGAATTTCTTTGTAGATTTTAGATGAAACTAAATAGATGTGAATATAGAAAGTATACGTGGAATATGGTTAGACTAATATAACAAAAAGTATTATTTATGAATAATACATGATACTTTTTGTACTCGATACGGGATCAGAAAATGTGAAAAAATTTTATAGTGTGTATATCGAAAATATTTTTTAGTTATATTTGTAATTACAATTAGAAATTATGTAAAATTCAGGATTGATATAATGTTATATCATTCGAATAGTAATGCCGCATAAAATGTTAACAGGATTTATTGAATTTTTCGAATTTTGTTTGAGGAAACTGGTGAAGGCAAATGTATCAACAGTTGTATGATGAACTGTATTTATTTAAATTAGTTTACTTTGTTTCTTTCGATCTAGTTTTTTCGTAATGTTACGATATACAAACTTTTGATTTTGTAAATTGTATTATACTAAAAACTAATGTTTTATTCTCCTACTTAATGATATATTTTTAATGTTTCCAAACTAAATATTATTTATTAAATTGAAATTCCAACTTTACAAAGTACTACGAATATTAGAGAAGACCGTTGTACTATAAATTACTACGTCTTACTATGTTTTACTCTAATGTTGATTTGGAAAAAAGTAGGTGAGAAAAGGACCGTTAGACTGATGACGTAAATTGTCGGCTTTTCCGGATTGTATCGGAGCTGTCGGCATAGCGTGATTTACAGTAGACACACCTTCTTTTTTCTAATTCGAGCCAATTAGGAATATTAATTTTTTTAACCGATCGGATGATGGCAGTAGGTTTCAATTCGATTTATATCGACAGATGGCCCTCTAAAATTTCATATTTAGTTTAATTTTTTTCTATTTTATTGTAATTTCTTGTAAACTATAAGATATTCCAAAACAAAGTTGGAGAATCCGACTACTCGTAAAAATTCCACAACTTCACAAAATGGTCCAGGTATTTCGTATGAATTTTTTTGCGACTATTGTTGACATTCACCACTGCCACACGATTGCCCTTGACGACTATACTTGTCAGTCACTGCTGAGTGGTAAAATATGTATTTTCTTAAGTTATTAAATGAATAAAATTTCTTTTATATGATGGGTAGAATTATTTATTATTGTCTTCATCATATACATAAAATTATAAAAAGTTAATTAATTCTCAGTTATACACACATATGCATGAATGTATGTTTACAANAATTCTTTGTAGATTTTAGATGAAACTAAATAGATGTGAATATAGAAAGTATACGTGGAATATGGTTAGACTAATATAACAAAAAGTATTATTTATGAATAATACATGATACTTTTTGTACTCGATACGGGATCAGAAAATGTGAAAAAATTTTATAGTGTGTATATGGAAAATATTTTTTAGTTATATTTGTAATTACAATTAGAAATTATGTAAAATTCAGGATTGATATAATGTTATATCATTCGAATAGTAATGCCGCATAAAATGTTAACAGGATTTATTGAATTTTTCGAATTTTGTTTGAGGAAACTGGTGAAGGCAAATGTATCAACAGTTGTATGATGAACTGTATTTATTTAAATTAGTTTACTTTGTTTCTTTCGATCTAGTTTTTTCGTAATGTTACGATATACAAACTTTTGATTTTGTAAATTGTATTATACTAAAAACTAATGTTTTATTCTCCTACTTAATGATATATTTTTAATGTTTCCAAACTAAATATTATTTATTAAATTGAAATTCCAACTTTACAAAGTACTACGAATATTAGAGAAGACCGTTGTACTATAAATTACTACGTCTTACTATGTTTTACTCTAATGTTGATTTGGAAAAAAGTAGGTGAGAAAAGGACCGTTAGACTGATGACGTAAATTGTCGGCTTTTCCGGATTGTATCGGAGCTGTCGGCATAGCGTGATTTACAGTAGACACACCTTCTTTTTTCTAATTCGAGCCAATTAGGAATATTAATTTTTTTAACCGATCGGATGATGGCAGTAGGTTTCAATTCGATTTATATCGACAGATGGCCCTCTAAAATTTCATATTTAGTTTAATTTTTTTCTATTTTATTGTAATTTCTTGTAAACTATAAGATATTCCAAAACAAAGTTGGAGAATCCGACTACTCGTAAAAATTCCACAACTTCACAAAATGGTCCAGGTATTTCGTATGAATTTTTTTGCGACTATTGTTGACATTCACCACTGCCACACGATTGCCCTTGACGACTATACTTGTCAGTCACTGCTGAGTGGTAAAATATGTATTTTCTTAAGTTATTAAATGAATAAAATTTCTTTTATATGATGGGTAGAATTATTTATTATTGTCTTCATCATATACATAAAATTATAAAAAGTTAATTAATTCTCAGTTATACACACATATGCATGAATGTATGTTTACAATTCTATTAATATATAAAAATATTTCTAGAATATTTATTTAAAAAATATTCTAGAAAGAGGAAGATCATTTATAATTACTTGGAATTTAGCTAATGTCTTTTCAGATTTGTTTTGTTGTGCAACAAGGGAAAATAAATCAATAAATGCAGATTATAATTAAAATTATTTTAATAAGATTAATCTTGATCAGCATCAAAAAACAAATTGAATATAGTGCAAATTTTACGCAAGCAATATAGTAAAAATTCAAACAATAAACCGGTTAACAGACACATGGAAATTAATTTAAACCTAGAGTGACTATATTTGAGTGCGTTAGTTCAAAAGTTTTGAAAAAGGATCCTTAATTACAGAAAGGTTTTTAATCTTGCTATTAGTCTGAGTATGCTGCATATTTAGGTGAGAGAAGTACAGTAGGATTCCCGTGAAACTTGTAATTTAATCAATGCATGCTTGCCATGCTGCTACGAACCTACTCTCTCTTCCTCTCTACTAGGAGAAAATTTCGAAAAATATTTTAGTGTTTTTAGCTGTAGGCATATTCTATATATTTATTAGTAATTTATAATTATATATATATAATTGTTTAAATATAAAAATATTGGCAGTTGAGCTGTGTTTTTCTCTGGCAAAAAGTAACAACAGAAAAGATTAATAG